CGTTTGTATCCTATTATTCGATTCGCTCTTGTCACTTATGACAGAACAGCTAATCATGATGATCTTGTCTTCGGAAAAGATTATTTTATTCACTTATGTCAGAAACCGTGAATCTCTTTAAAAACTGGCCGTTGTTTTCACTTCATTGCATTGTTATAATTCGTAAAAGTTGTACCCGCCAACTGGCGACTGACACTGTTACATGGACTCGCCAACGCTGATTTTTACTCGCATTTGGCGCTTGGCGAGTGTTAATTTTAGGCCCTGGACATGGGGCTGCATGTTTAGTTAGTACTGTTGCTTTAAGACCTGCATGCATCTAATATACAGGCATGCATCCGTTTTTCTCTCAACTGTTTACTTTCACTTTAGACATAACCAACAGTGTTTATATGTAATCCTTGTGTGTTTTTGACAGTATTAGCTCAATCAGACACAAAACATAACTTAGTCCAGTAATTAGGTGCTTTGACAGGCTTTTTATTTTAGCAGAGAAAGCGCACGTCAGAACAGCATGCAAATTAAATGTTTAACTGGTAATGCTTTAAAGCACATGCAAATAATGTACTTTTGCAACTGCGAATAAGTGTAGTGTCCTGTGAGTGTTACTCTACCGCTGAGATAACATTTGATGTGAATTTATGTCGTGTTGTTACAGTATATTGAGACAGAGGCGCACTATAGCACGATACTACGATATTTCTTCAAAAGCAGATCGTACAGACATTTTAATCGTCCATGTTCAAAAACCGTCATATCGCACACCCCTAGTGTTAAGGAAGGACAGCTGAGTTACACCCCTTAATGTTCATCTCTGAGTTTGTGTGTGTGCAGCAGGATTAAGGTCACTGTGATCACACCTCCTGCTTGTGGCATGATGTAAAGGGCAGAATGATTACACCCTTAAAGCAAGCCTGTGTTGTGTGCTAAGGTCAGTGTGATCACACTCCCAATCCAGAGATGTTGTGCCGAGTTGTTATGACTTCCCCCCCCCCAAAAGCTTTTGTGTATTTTTATCAGCCATGTCAATATGGGGCTTAGAGGCAGAACTGTGTGTGTGTTAGTGGAAGCCATTGTGCAACAGTTATTAATTAGTAATGAATCTGACCTAGATGTGATGGTTGAGCGGTTGAGGATATTTACATGAGGATTTGAGCATGTTTGGGTGAGAGACAGACAGCGGGGCATTTAAAAGGACACTCAAGTCAAAGTGGACAGAGGAAATCTCTCATCCTCTTTATATAAGAGCTGTCACACTCGATGACACTCATGAAACTGAGTGAGTGGAACTGAAAGCTCAGGGAGGAGAAGTCTCACACACACACTGGTGTGTGTTGTGTGTGCGGTTTTCAGCATACCTGCAGCACTCTGACAGGTGTGAACCAGCACGTCTGTGTCTAATGGCTTGTTACAGCTCAGGGTGTCAGATGACTTGTGTTACGCTTACATTCTATGATTCATAGACGTTTTATTGAGTCAGAGCTCAGAACTGGATTTTACATGTTCTTCACATACTCTTGAAAGTCCTGGGATGAACAACGGATTCTGAAGAAATAACGAATGGCATTTGATCCTAGGGTGTTTTGTGTGGTTGTTTGGGAGTTGCTTACTGGGCTAGGCAAAGGCTCCACCTTTAGGTCTTTAGATGTGCTTTGAATCCAGTGTAAAATGGGATTTTTCCACCTGGCAAAAATCAGATTGCTAAAACCCCATTTGCACTGTAAGTGGCTTTGTTGCTGCGTGTTGGCAGTTGCTTGGTCGCTAGTAGTCATTCCTAGTTCTGGTTGCCCTAGTTATGCTTTTTACTGTGATGTTTTGAGGGATCATTCATGTCTGTAACATGAAACGGTGCGTGAAATGGGTCTGCAACAGATATGAAATGCGAATACACTAAGATACGTGCTTGTATGTCCACAGTGGAGAGATGTTTAGCCACAGCTGTTGTCATGGCAGCTGAGAGCTTTCATGTAGAACGAAGTGGTGGAAATGTCACCAGAATGCATAATCCATAATCACACAGTCAAAATATCACTGCATTTAGGTAGTTCAGCAGAAATGTCTCACATCATGTGATCTGTGAAATTTTTTTCTTGAGGATTTTGTAGTGTCATAAGATTATTTTGTCTTGAATGTTTGTTTTGAAAATGAGTTTGTACTGTCGAGGTCAATTTTATTAAGGTTTTTGAAAGAAGTCTCTTACGATCACTCTAGGAAATCTATTTTTGTCTATTTATTTTATTTTATTTGTTTCAGAATATTTTCTGAAATCAGTCGTAATGGTTTGTTTAATGGTTTATTTTAATGGTTTATATTAAAAAAGGATGTCTAAACAATTGAATACACAAAAATCCAGCAGTAATAGTGTGCTATGAAATGTTTAATTTTTCTGCATAAAACTATTTTGGTAAGCAAAGTGCTGCCCAACAGAGGTTTACAGTTGAAATTAAAACAGAGATGAAAAAGTGTGGAAAAAAAAAAAAGAAAAAAGATTTTAATAAAATGAAATTTTGCAATCATCACACTTGCTCATTTTGCATTTTAATATTTACAGTCATTTGTTCCTGTGATGGCAAAGCTGAATTTTCAGCATCATTACGCCAGTCTTCAGTGTCACATGATTCTCCAGAAATCATTCTGATATGCTGATTTACTGCTCAAGAAACATTTCTTATTATTATCAATGTTGAAAACAGTTGTGCTGCTTGGTATTTTTGTGGAAACTGTAATGTGTACTTGTTTTTAGGATTCAATGAATAGAAAGTAAAAAAAGAACAGCATTTGACTAATTTAATGCATCTTTGCTGAAATAATTTTTTTTTAAATCTCACTGATCTTAAACTTTGGAACTGTAGTGTACACTTACTGGTGACTCTCTTTCAGCCTGGACGACTTGGTTGATTGATAAATGAATAGGTCTCACAAATGCACTTATAGGTGGTAAATAAACTTGAATGTGTGTATGTTTGAACAGCATTTCATAGAGGGATACGCACTCAACACACCTTTAGTTCACATACACACACCACACCTTTGTCTCTGCCCCACTTTAACCCTGCAAAAGGAGTTTCAGTCAGTCTGTGTGTGTTGGTACTTGTATCTGTTTGTGTGAGGGTTACTGCAGTGTCTATCCATGTCTTAGCTCTCAGGTTTGTGTTTATGTAAAGCTGCTTGGGGTTTTAATTCTCATACACACATTTCTGATTCTTGGTTGATTCTTGTTACTGAGACTTGGCAGGATTGTAGTGCTTGTCCTTGAAAGTAATTGTGTGGGGTTAACAAGGCAATTTTCATCCTATGCTGTAGAGAGAGAGAGTGAGTGAGTGTGTATATACAGCTTTGAGTCCTAAAGTGACTCCTCTATCAAATCCTTTTTAAGTGTTAAATCCCGCCTGAAGTTTGGAATAGAGACCTGCACTCCCGCGGGAGTACCGCGGGACCCAACGCAACAGGGTGTGGCGCGGGACAACTCTTGATGGGCGAGTGCGGGCGTGAAGAGAGTCGTGTGTGTGCGGGATGCGGGAGAATGAAATGATTTGCGGGACTCCCGCAAAATAGAAATTATCTAAACATAAAATGTCTAAAACATAAATTGTTATTTATGTGTTACACAAAAGCAAAAAGAACAACTAATAACATTAAAATAGCTAGGCAGAGATTCTGTTTAAAACACGTGTTTAAAGGGTTTCGCAATGTAGCCAATCACAGACTCAGCTGTTGATTTCTGGAACGCAATGGCCAATCAGAGGTGATTAAGTTAGAATCCACTCACCGCAGTGCTGTAATTGCGTGCTCACGAATCCTCTCATTTTAACACACGAAGTGTAGACACTGTTTTCTTCTGAAAGATTTGGCATCTTTTTTCAGTGAGGTAACAGACCCCATCCATCGCTCTCCTCTCCCCTTAGGTTTCCTCCAAGCATTAAAACATCTGGGGCAATTAAATGGTACGGTAAACTTTAACATAAAGCGAGGGAGTGATGGGGAGAAGAGAGAAGCGAGGATATCAGATTACCGTGTGTTTGACTGTCTGCGAGGGCGGCGGGACGGCTCGTTTATTTTCTTTAACTCGGCACACACACAGCGTCTTGATCCTGCGCTAGACCTGATCCATATGAGTTTGGGTTCATGTTTGCAAGACGGAGGCCCCTTTCAGGATTTCATTGGAGCCAGAGCCTCTGCGTTTCTTTGTGCATCTGTGTATAAGCTGTGAAATTATTGTTGATCATCAATCTTTGACTATAGTCTCGCTGACTCTCTTAGCTAAAGCATTAATGCTCCTCAGCCAATCAGAGAGCTTTTCTGATATTAGCAGTGCTTCTGATGTGGGGATAGCGTTAATATTAGCCCACGTAATATTGCATTCTTGTTGTGTCTGGCTTCTTACCCTAGCAGGGTTGCATTAGTCCTCTTTTATCAGTATAAATAAGAGTTTCAACATAGTTCGTATTTTATTTTTTAACCTTTGTCACTGTTGATTTATAGCAGTCAGGATTGTTAGGAAGGTCATACTCTGCTTTTGTTTTTTGTTTTTTTTAGCAACAGCTAGAGGAAGAAGCTGCGAAACCCCAGGAGCCAGAGCGCACCATCTCCCCTCCACCCAGTGAAGCCAAACCCCGCAGCCTTGTCCAGATCATCTATGATGAAAACAGGGTGAGAACAAAAAACACTGAATCTGATTACATATATGCGCATATATATTGCATTAGACAAGTACACATAAATGTTAAACGAACATTGGTGTTTGGAGAAGCTCATCAAGCAGGTAAGTCGAACAGTGCTGTGACAGATCTTAATGAGAGAAGCGAGCTGTTAAATGTGTAATGAGGTGCTGCAATCGATTGATGGTGAACTGCCCCCCCCACCATATGACTCAAATACACAGTTCATTGTGTTGAATCTCACCACTTCTCCATCTCTGTAGACTTTCTCTCTCAAACAGAATCCCTGGCTACATTTTAGACATTTTAGTTCTCATACTGTGCACTATAAATATTGTTAATGTTTTTAATGGCAAAGTACATATTTCTTAATTTTTCTAAAGACAGTACACCAGAATTGGCGATTTACCATCAGTCCTCCCTCTGTTGCATAGTGTAAACTGTAAAAGATTTGACATTATTCCTTGACACTTGTCCAGTACATTACAACTGAAAAAGTCAATACAACCACTACAGAAAATCTACAAATTTCGATGCGAGTAGCATACCATTCAGGCTCCTTTGAAATACTTTTTTTAAGGCACTATGATTTGGGGTGCACTACTCCAAAGCTTACAAACTATATACTAGGGATTGTATGTAATTTGGGATGCAGCCATGGAGAGTGGCTCAGCATGCTGCATACTGCAGCATTGATGTGTCTGTGGTGCTAGTGGTCCCTCTAGTGGGGAGAGACTAGAGGATTACAGCAAAGGGTCTTAAACTGGGGCTATTGTGTAGCCTATATGTCTCATATATATGATGTGAAATATTTATTTGTATATTTTTCTAATGGGAAATTGACTCCAATTACTTTATATAGCAGATATGTTAAGTTTTGGTTGTGATAATCTGCCAACATCTGTATATGAAGGCACACAAAACATGATGACGGTTATTGAATAATTGGGCCATCTGAGAGTCCACTGCCTTTGTAGCACATTTTTTGTTATTGTGGTGGTTGATTTCTATTTTATTTTTTCTTGCCGTGTCACATCTTGTATGCATCTGAAACCACCTCCTAGTGCTGGGCGATTTGGCGAAAAAATAAAATCTTGATTTTTTTCAGAACGTTTGACCGATTCTCGATTTTTTTTTTTTACGATTTTTAAAAATTTTACTACAACATGATTCACATAGCTTTTTCTTTATTAACCCTCTAGTTAAAGAAAATTCTATTCTAAGTGCAGCACACATTAAGTTGTCAACATGATATAAATGTTAAACAAATCACTTGTTAAATATATTTATATAAATATATACAGAAAAGATGCATGAACTACAACTGCATCCTGTACAAACTTGTCTTACAGCCTACATGTTATATGTTCAGAAATAATAGGCTACAATGAAAATGCTTCAAAAAATTCTCAACAGTAAATGTAGTTCAAATTCAATACATTTTTAAACTGCGCACTTGTAAATATAGCATATCTGTACATTCATTTAAACAGTTACATTTCTCTATATTTTTACTTCTGTGTATAGTGCATTATTTAATTTTCAGTTTTTCTTATATTAGTGTTATACTCCATCTCTACTGTGTAATTCCTATGTCTGCTGCACTAGTTTGCACTAGTTTTGCACTATGTCCATACTTTCTTCTGCACTGGAAGCTCCTGTCACTAAGTCAAATTCCTTGTCTGTGTAAACATACTTGGTAATAAAGCTCTTTCTGACTTCTAATATTTTACAGAACTTCTTGTGCTACACATGCAAAGAATATGTGGAGGATTTGGGCAAAATACCTCAGCATATGTTGCAGGTCAAGGGATGATATTAGAAAAATGCTGTTAAAACACTTTTGTCAGTAATAATGTAATATTTGGTTGAATATACAGTGAAGAAAAGGAACAACATATATTTTTTCCTTCTCTCACAAATGTAGGAATCGAATGTCAGATTGGTAGTGATTAGACAGTCATCATGGCATCATATAGAGGTTCTCACAGCCATCTGCTGGAGTGCCCTTGCCAGTCATCAGAGGGCACTCTTCTGGGCTTTGTCCGAAATCGCCCCCTATACCCTTAAATAGGGCACTATTTGAGGGAACAGCCATTTTTAATGGTGTCCGAAACCATAGTGGACGTTCTCGAGTGCACTCATTCAATCCCACAATGCACTGCAAAAACGAGTGTATAACTGGTGCACGCTCAACGGCTAGAGAATGCCCATAATGCACCGTGAGAGTCACGCGCCGAATGAATTCCCGCATCTCGCCAGAAGATGGCGCCCGCAGCTGAATAATCAATCCGTTCATTTTTACAAAGCGCTCATCCATGGCGTACAGCATAATGTACAACACGGGTATAAATTCATTGTAAATTGATTATTAAATTGTTTGATTAGGGTTTATACATAATTTCCGTGACAGAGTTCAAGATAAATCCTTTAATCTTACTACTGGAGCTGCTAGTTTGCTAGTTTCAAATGATTAATAAACAGCAAGCACAAACTATGCAAAAAGCGGCATTCCTTCCGGTGCACTCAGTGTCCGAATTCACTACTCGTTTTCATTCACTCCTTCTAGTGAACTGAATTAGTGACCTAATGTAGGGAATAGTGAATGAGGGTATAGGGGGCGATTTCGGACACAGCCACTGTCTCTCAAATGAGTCGCTGGGTAACACATTTGCATAATCCCCGCCTGCCCGCGAAATACGAACACACAGAGTCTGACCTGCCCACAAACACTTCCGCTAGTTAGTGTGTTTACATCATGTTGAGAAGACGCTGTGTTCAAGGATACCACAGAAATACAATTCGAACCTTTTGTTGTGTGCAGGGCCGGACTGGGACGCAATTTCAGGCCGGGAAATCTCACACTCATCCAGGCCACACAGAAAATATAAAGTATATAGCCTATACATCCACAACAATTTCTGAAACCACAGACAACCCTATTA